AATTATACAAGTTTCACTATAAAAATTTGTATTCATTATAATTTATTCCTTCAGCAGTTTCTTAAAACTTTTATAATAGCTATTTTTCCCTACATGAAAGTTGTTTGAGATGCATTTCCCTTAATTTTTCGGGCATTTGATGGAGACTTCAAGTCAATCATCTTATATCTTTTAAAAACTTCTGGTCACACAATTCCATACGTACAGAAAATTATGTAAGACCTCTACGGTAAACATCTTCACAAAATGAAAACTCTATATGCTGATTTCCTTTATCCGACCAAAAGTATTAAACTTGAATACAGACTTTTTTTTTATCACGTCACGCAAAAACAGCCACAAAATATTGAAAAAAAATATATATAATTTGTTTTCTTTTTGTTCCGACTTTCGATACGAAAGTAACGGAATATTTGTGCTCGGGGTGAGTTTTTTTTTCTTTTCACACAAACTTCGACTTTTTAACTAGCCAATTTTGACGGAGTTTTTTTTATATCATTCGAAAGCTATTGTTGTCCAGAGCTCGAATTTGAAAAGATATTTCACCTGTGATCATTTTTCGTAAAGTTACGGGGTTTTAAAGATTGCACTTTTGGCCAATTTGGGACAATTAACGCGTGATATATTTCGCGCTATTAACGCGTAAGCGGAGAGATAATCAGTCTTAGAAATCGTTCCAAATTGGTTAAAAGAAGCTTATTTGCCATAATTGGTTTGTTACAAGGAGCGAAATCTATATTTTTGTTCCGACTTTCGATACGAAAGTAACGGAATATTTGTGCTCGGGGTGGGTTTTTTTTTTCATCAGACAAATTTCGACTTTTTTACTAGCCATTTTTGACGGAATTTTTTATATCATTCGAAAGGTATTAGTATTTTGAGCTAAAATTTGAAAAGATATTTTACCTGTGATCCTTTTTCGTAAAGTTACGGGGGTTTAAAGATTGCCATTTTGGCCAATTTGGGACAATTAACGCGCGATATATTTCGCGCTATTAACGCGTAAGCGAGATTTAATCCGCCTTAGAAATCGTTCTAAATTGGTTCAAGGAAGCTTATATACCATAATTGATTTGTTAATGGGCGCAAAATCTATCACTTTATTTTTGATATGACGTGTGGGGGGATGTTTTTACGTAAAATCTCGAATTTTTTCAAAAATTTTTTTAATTTTTTTTTATTACATTGAAATTTTTCATCTTATTAATGCTCCATAGACCTTGAAAGGCAGCCGTAGATTTTTAACCAGCTATTTGGAATCAGTTCCGCAATGCAATGATTGGAAATCGAAAAACCAGCAGCTCGGTCGAAGAATGGCATAGAGTTTTTCAATTTACATTGGGTTATGCTCATTTTATCGTATCAAAATTAATTCAGTGAAAACGGAAGAAGCAAAACTTACCGCAAAATTGCCTGGTACGGTTAAATTCAGGAGAAAAACTCTATTATTGCCCCAAATATGAACAATTGCAACAAAAAGATTCAGAAACTCTTGAAAACTAACGAAATAATGATTTAATTTGTAGATGGAAGCTGTTTCATTCAACTTTGATCTGTAAAACTTATTATACCAAAGAAATTTTGTTGCCTCAAAGGCTTCGATGTTTTGCCGCTTCTTTGTTTCACATTTTGATTAAGAGGAAATTTAATTTTTTCCAATTGTTGTACACGTTGATTCTTTTTGCGAGTTGTTGCGGTTTTGTTGCGAGTTGTCGCGGTGCCCAAATCTTTGATTCAATGCATAGATATAGATAGAAAAATCTGTGGCTCAAAGATGCAAAACTTAATTTGTTTTTCTAAAATTGAACATTAAAATATATAGAGAATACATCTGAAGTAAAATAGTTGTTATTCATGAAAAAGTAATTAGAAATTCTTAACTTTTCATAATAAATTAATATAAAAAGTAAATGAGATGTTGAAAAGTTAGTTTTTCAACATCTGACACCATTAGGTTGAAAACGCTCAAGCGCGGGGAGAAAATTACAGACGTAGTATGAAGAGTGAATCAGTTTCTGTGGGTTTTTGTCATGCCAATTGTTTGGCTAGCCTGAAAGCCATTCAAAGCTAAAATATAACCAGGAAGTTTCTGTAAGTAAAAGTTGATTTCTTCGGCCTTCTGCGATCAAATTAGCCGCAATTACTCTTTTTTTAACTAACTACTGCAATGAACATTTGGATTTCAGTAAGAAACACTAAAATAAAAAACCAAAATCTAATGCTTACGATTATATATTGACGGTAAAATTTAGGGAAATATTTCAAAGTTTTTTCATGTTTACTGCTCCATAGACCTTAAAAAGTAGTTGGAACATTCGGGCTTCGCCCTGATACGAGCAGTCTTCTTTCAAAAAAGCCACACCACGCAAAAACAAACGACACTTATTTTCGGAACATTAGTCGGAACATTCTGTGCTACTTATATAGTAACTGTCTAGTCTTGTTTTTGATAAAATTTGGTTTATAATAGTTAAAATGGCTTTTTTGTTATCGCACGAAAACCAGTTTATGAATAAACATCTAAGAAGACTTCCTTTTCCAGTTTTTAATGGACTACTTGAGAGAGTTTTGTATGAACCTTTTTCTCGTTTGAGAGCCACCGTTTTGAGAATTTAAAATAGCTTAAGCGTTTTGGAGATTTTAAAATTAAAATTTGTTGGTTTAAATGAAAGGTTCACTTTGATTTAGGTTTTTTGGCAATTAAATAAGTATTTTCGGCGTAATTTTTGTTTAATTGAAAAAACTTTTAAGTGATCCGTTTTTGTGCTGTGACGAAACTTAGGGGCAAATTTCAGGCAACTAAATTCATCATATTTACTCAGCTAACTCTCAAAGCAAGCTTTGTCTCATCGCTTTGTTTCTGAGGTCAATTTTATTTTGGAAAGGCGTTTTTTATTTTCAATTTGCGTTTGTTGTCCGGATAATTGATAGCAAATTCCAAATTCCGGGTAATTTCTTTTCCGGTCAACAATCAGTCGACAGTCAAATTCTTGGCAATCTTAAGTTAACTAATGAAAAACTGCTGTTCATAACGCCTGCAATTAATTATACCCTTACTTAAGCATGTAAAAAACCAAAGCACAAAAAAAGCTTATTAGCTCAAGGATTGTTTTTCGACCGATTAAATTGCTGAAGGTCACCGATATTACTTACCAACAATAGGGAATTAACTATAAATCAGCACTGTATGCTTCAAATTGGTGGCGTCTCTCATGCTTGAAGGACCGAATGGGGGCGTTAGACAGTGCCGAAGTTAGAGAGTGCCGAAAAAGGCGGGAAATATTGGAACGCAATTTAAGAGGCTAGCTTTTGGCGGGAAAATTAATAATGACACTTGAAACTTGTTCAGACTCAATTTTGGCGCCAAAATCGATGAGCAAACAAAACTTTCTTTTCTTTACTCAATTATTTCACGACAAATAAACTTGTTCAGACTCAATTTTGGCGCCAAAATCGATGAGCAAACAAAACTTTCTTTTCTTTTCTCAATTATTTCACGACAAATAAACTTGTTCAGACTCAATTTTGGCGCCAAAATCGATGAGCAAACAAAACTTTCTTTTCTTTTCTCAATTAGTTCACGACAAATAAGTCAGTTTCTGCACTCTTTAACAAATTTTCGGCACTCTTTAACAAATTTTTGTTTTCGGCACTCTCTTACTTCGGCACTGTCTTACCCAACCGACCGAATGCTTGAAATTAATTTTAGCTTACTTTCAGCCAATCAGAATTGAGTATTCAAAATCTAAAAATAAATCGCGAAAATCTCTAAGTAAGAAAATAAATCCAGGCCATTAGTGTTAATATTGGCCGATTAGATAATAAGCAGATGAGTTTTCACATATTGCCGGAACGATATAGCCAGGATCAGACCGTCATTGTGGACAATTATTTACTATTTAAAAATCCAAGAAAAACGAATGCGCTTAGTTTTTGGCCGGATCGAAAAGGGCGAAAAACCTCCGGCCCAAAAATTTAAATGGCGTCAGTTGAAAGCCAAATTTCGAAGACAGAAAAACTTTTATGAACTTTATTTTGATAGGTTGAAATTTTTCAAGCATTCAGTCCTCCTAGGACTTGCTCTGTAAATTGAAGCGGATTTCTGTTGTCTCGATATAAAGAAATGGAGCAGACATTTACTTAATAAGAGCAATCTGCCATTTCTCAGCAAACTGGATTTTCATATGATACTGAGGGTTACATAGCAGTATTTAGACAACTGCGTATCCAGACTCGTCAGTATTTAAACAAATACTGCTTCAACCAATCAGAATCGAGACAAAGAAGAAATTAATTAATAATTATTACTTAATTTGGATTGTTTTTGTCTTTTCTCGATTCTGATTGGTTCATTCAGTATTTATCTAAATACTGACGAGTATGAATACGCGGTTGTCTAAATCAGGCTAGGTTCCAAAATAAAAAATCAGTCCCATAGGTTGCAAAATAAAAAAAGCAGTCGCAAAAGTTCCAAATCTTTCCAATTGGTCAAAAGACTAAATTAGCCGAGTCTCGGTCTAAGGCGATAACCGGCTCTTAATTTCGTATAGAGTCCTACCCTTTGGTGGCAAGCTCGCAACACATTGGCGCGGCTGCGGCGGTCACTATTCTGCAGCTTGAGTTTATGCTGGTTGAACAGTAAACAATCAATCCATAAACTCGTTGGCTCAAATTTCAACCAATCAGAATTCAAGAAGATAAATTTTGGAACTTATGCGACTGATTTTTTTTATTTTGGGACCTATGATTGGAGCCTATGGGAATTCACCGCACTCTGATACTGAGTCATAATTTCTCTCCGAAAAATTAACTTTGGCAAGCAAAAGTTTTCTGCGTCAGGTCAAATGTTCTTTATAATTAATCTAATCTGTTCCAAATTTTTGCTCTCTTTAAATCAACAGATCGTCTGGCAGACACGTATGATCTGAAGGTCATTCAAAATTTCAAAGAAGCATTTCAATTACGCCGAGACTGGTCAATGTTTTCGAATATAACGTTGTTAATTTTATAATCAGGAGTCCATTAAGCGAAATTTAATTTAGGGGAGCTTGAAATTCCGAAGCTGAGAAGCAGAAGACAAATATGATTGTATACTGTCCTGTAATGTTACCGAGCAGCAGCAAGCTTGACGTTTGCGTCGTATTAGTACTTTTAATGAACCTCTGGCAAGGTGTTCTGACAAGCGACCTTTCGAATTTCTGTTCTCCTGATGAATTCGACTGCCAGGACTCTACCGGCTGCATTCCGGAGGACTGGGAGTGCGACGGAATATCAGACTGCGAAGAGTCCGGAATAGATGAACATGATGGATGTTCCCATGAGTGTGCCACTGGAAACTTCGAATGTGTGAGTGAGAATAAGTGCATTCCGCAGGACTGGGTATGTGACTACTTCCCAGATTGTGCAGACCAATCGGATGAGAAGCAGAATTGTCCCCCCTGTTCTGGATTCACATGTGGCATCTCTGGAATGTGCTTGGAAGAAAGATATGTCTGTGACAGCTGTTAGTAACAAGTGAATCGCTGCATTTGGAGTACACAGTTTCCCCCTTTTCGGTTTTCACCCTTATTTTAAAAATTTATGTTTTCATAAGTGTTTTACGGCGAAATGCGTGATGGAACGCTGTAAATCAAGAATAAACGGTGTACAAAATTCGTTACATAAATGAGTTTGTTCACAATGCCATGTTTCAATACGGTAACCATCGTAAAACTTAAAAGCGAAAATGTCAAATTGAGCTACATCGAAACAACTAACTCTGATTTAAAAATCGGTGAGGCATGGGTGGTAATCTTAATCTTTTGAACTTGCTGCGCTGAGAAAACAGACCCGCCCCTTTCATCGGGTCAGTTACTTCTGGCATTGTTGCGTGCAGAACGAAAAATTATTCTGGGGTTTTAAATGTAAGATGTGTTCTAGCAAATGACTGCGGAGATTACTCTGACGAATTAAGTTGCGATCCGGACTTTCCATTATCCTACAAATGTCCAAACTTTGATATTGTTGTGCCTGCTGAAAAAGTTTGCGATGGAACAGATGATTGCGGAGATGGTTCAGACGAAATGTTGTGCAACTTCTGCACAATTGAAGAAGCGCCTTGCTCTGACTTGTCGGGATGTATTCCCTCGGACGGTTGGTGTGACGGAACCGATGATTGTGAGGATGGATCTGACGAAACGTTTTGCGACACATGCGATGGTGAGTTTCAGTGTTTTGATGGCTCTGGGTGCATTCCGACGGTTGAAACATGCGACGGTGCACCAAACTGCGATGACGGATCGGATGAGATGTTTTGTGAGAATTGTACTCCTGAGGAGTACACTTGTTTCGATGGATTCAACTGCATTCCGTATCGCGAAATGTGTGACGGGACACCACAATGTATGGACGGCTCTGACGAGGAGTACTGTCCCTGTGAAAATGAGGAAGATTTCCAATGTGATAATGGAAAGTGTATTGGCAGGGAGTTGACATGCGTTGGCGAGGATCAATGTGGCGACATGTCTGGTGAAAACGACTTCATGTGCATCTGTGAATCTGGTTTCAATTTCAGATGCGCTTCTGGCGTGCGTCACCGGGACGCTTCTTCCGAGGCACAGTGTGTGCCCATTCATTGGGTGTGTGACGGCGTGAACGACTGCACTGAGGCTGAAGATGAAAATGTGGAGTGGTGTGACTTCTGGGGCTGGAACAGACCTTACTACGAAGTTGATAACACTCAAGATCTTCAAGATAAACCTAGTGCAAGTTTTTGGAGTCGCTTTGTCGCTGATAGAGGATAATCAAGCATATAGCGGTTACGCTAAATTTTCGGATAACGTGTTTTATAGTTTTTATAGTTTCATTCTCACAACTGAAAGGTCGCTGAAATTTGTCATTATCGCAAACATTTTTCCAATAACTAGTAGCAAAGACAATTGAGCTTGCAATAGTGCTAAAAACAAACTTTTTGTATATGAGCATTAAATTTACCGTAACTTAATTTGAAACAGCATTTTATGTTGACGAGCTATTTAAAGAAATGTTTTTCCTTCAATGGTTGATCTGTGACAATAATATACAAAATAATATCGAAGTGCTTTCTGGGAAGTGATATCAGTACTGTGGTACCATATTTCTAATCACCAGTTTGAAACAAAGTGTTGATAATGAATAAATATGTTTGGAACCAATAATACTGCATTGAATTTAATTAATGATTGACTTGATCATATTGAGCACAAGCGAACGGGTTCCAATTTTCAGCAGGCACTGAACCTGTACTCCAACCCACGATTGTTCAAACTTGTCATGAAACTTAGCAAATTGATGACGGTAACCGGTAATGCTTTTCATGGAATTCAAAATTCAAACCCTAGAAAACCGTTATGTTCACTATCAACTTGAAACTGTAATCTGAGCTACAACAATGGTTAGTAAGGGACAAGCACCAAGCATATCAATTTGGCGCCCTTGAAGATAACTAGAGCAGTTTTTTAAAGAAAAAAAATAGTCCTTTGCCGGTATTGAAATTACTGCATGTTACCATCAGAGGTATCTTGCTAAGAAATTTCGTAGACGTTTAAGGGCTGGGCTGTCAAAAACCATTGTGACAAGAATTCTGGATCTTTCCAGTTCACCACCCCCTCTGAGCATCGCATTACGCTTTCCGACTTTCGAAGAAAGTCACAAAATTTTTTCGGGATGGGTGTTTTCTCAGAAATTTTCAAGCTGTGTTCGACGGCATATACATACCATTCGACAGGTGTCCTGAGCTATTGAGTTAATATTAAGCATAAGTCTTTGAAATCGGTTCAAAATGGATAAAGCAGGCCATTTGTCAAAGATGCTACATCATTACTAGGAGGGATATTTTTCACTTAGTATTTGATATGGCGTGTGGGGGAGTGATTTCGTTTTCGTTTGTAATTTTTGAAAATTTTCATTAAAAAAAAACTGCTTTAGACCCTGGAAGGCAGTCGAATCAATCTGGGCTTCAGCCTGATACGAGCAGTATTGTCTAAAGTTAATGCATGTGGGCAGGGGCGGATCCAGGATTTTATCAAGAGGGGTTCGAAAATTTTGACCTTTTTTACAGGTCGATCGAATAGATTTTCCGAGTTTTACCAACGCAGTCAAAAGACCCATGTTCGGCCAAACCTTCTGAGCCTTTGGATCAAGTTTCGCATAATATCGAATAATTTAGCCCTTAACATTGATGTGGCAAAATTTTCTAAACCGTTTTTAAGGTATCTTTTCCAAAAACACTTTCTAAATCAGAAAGAAGGCGGATGATTGATGCCTACTGTTTAGTATTGGCCCCATTTAAAGTAATTTATCCCGGATGGTCGACACACGTTGCCTATGGCGCTCACTCCTCCTCCGGCTGCTCCTGCTGGACCAAAAGGGGGTTGCTTGATCCCCTAGCCACCTGCACATTCTTCTGCACAGAGACCGCAAAGTCCGCAAAAAGCAGCTAATCTCCAAACTTGATCTGTGTTATTAATAATAGTAGAAAGGGAAAACTTAGACCAAAAATTGCGTTTTTTTTCGGCGCGCACCTCAGAGCTAAATTAGTTAATATTGGCGCCAAAAAATATCCGTCAGCCAATAAGGAATATTTCAAAATGAAACAAAAGTGGGACACTGTCGGTGGGCTGGGGATCATATGTTTTTTTCTTTTCTTGAAAGGTCTTGTTTAAACATTTGACCTGAGCGCATTTTTTGTGAACGGATAATGATTTAGCGCATTCGGAATAGGCAAAACAAGATTTATTTCGCGCGATTGACGTGTAAACGGCGATATGACAATGCGTAGCATTCTGAAAAGGAGTTCAGGCAAGCTGTTTGGTCTCAATTTTTTGGGGTAAGTGTTGGGATACTTGTCCTCCACTTGATTTTTTTTCTCAGACAAATGTCGCCAAAACGTGCCATTTTTTAAACAAATCTTAGATGAGTGATTAAATGGAAAATCGCGGTATAAAAACACCTAAATTTTTTATTCGTATAGATCGATTATAATGGGTTTTTGTTGACTAGAATGTTTATACTCCCACTTTATTACCAATTATTCCATTTAATTTTCTTGTTCGACATCCGCCCCTACTTTCACACCCCGCCCACCATCCCACATGTCATCCTGCCGGATTGGCATTAACCAAGTTGATGTACTTATATATGCCTTCTTATATAATCTGTACTGCAAGACAACTGACCTTGAGCAACACGGCCAGGCCGTAATGCTAAGAGCACTGAACGCTCAGAGCAGCGGTTAAGAGAATGTTTCAGTTATCTTTTTTTCTTCATTGAGTTACCAACATAGTTGGCAATTCGTTCGGATTCAGTGAATACTCATAGGACAGGGTATGAGATGTCGCAGCCAGCAGGACACAAAAACCCGCTGACTATTCCACCATTCTAGTAGAAGGAATCGGCAGATCCACCACTTGAGTGGTCCGAACAGACAGCTTTGATGGAAATGGCCGTCCTGGCCAAAGACGGAACGGAAGTACGATTTTTCTACTTTACCCTATCATAGAACATACGGAACCAATTTAGGAACTTCAAAAAAACGGCGAAACAGAAGCAAAAAAAAAACTACAACAAGATATACTAAGCTAGGAGAGAAAACTCAACTGGTAAAACAACAGCAAGAGTAAGAGAAGAGGAACAGTTTGCAACAATTTCTCGAGAAACGAAGCAGATGCCGAGGTGAGAAGTTATAAATTATTGTATCTAGGAGCCGAAGGCCACTGCAAAAAATGTCCAGGACAAACAACAAAATAAAAATATAAAATAATTGCAAATAATGGAAGAAATTTCCGTAACAAAAAGGATAATTGCTTTCGAAAAGTGAAGTTTCATCTACCGCAATCAAGAAAAAAACGAATCGCTAGAACAATTTCATGCCCATCTAATCAAACTAGCGTGCCGCGCAGACTGCGGCGACACAGAAGATGAATGGGTCAGAGACATGTTTACGGCCCACATGTCAAATGAAAAGATCGTCGAAGAACTACTAGCAGAGACATCATCGCCCCAAAAAGCACATAAATATGCAATAAGGAGAGAAAAAGGCATAGAACACAGCAAAACCATGAAAACGAACCCATTCAGACCATCAACAGCCTCGTCCACAATCAAACCGGAACACTTGGCTTATATCCACCAACGCGGCAGACGTGCTCCAAACTGATATCAAAATAATCAACGAGGTCGAGGATTCGGGAGAGGCCAACAACAATTTCCCAGAGTAAATACTAACAAAAGAAGTACACAAAACCCGCACGGAAATCGAAACAAGACTTGTTACAAATGTGGCAGACATTTCAGTCTCAACCATTTACAATCGTGTCTAGCTAACGACAAGATCTGTACCAAATGTACCAAACGAGGACTTTGCGCAAAAATATGCAGATCAACGAATGTAGTTAACATGCAGGAGTCAAGCGGAACCCAATCAGAGGAAGAACAAGAAGACGAAAATGAGGATGAAAAGAACGACCCCGTAGCCTTCCCAGAAATAACCTCGTAAAACGGTTAGGAGGAAATACCACATGATAACTTCCCTATCATGCCATTTCTGAAACTTTCGATATAAAACATTCAATTGATGTACGAGAAAAAAACTTAAATGGCCACAATTTAAAATTGAAAACAAAATCAGAAAGTCTATTCGCAATTTTAGATTTAGGAAGTCCAATCCAGTGCCCTTCCTAAACGAGATAACAGCAAATAGACTTCAAACAAATCAGCAGGATTCTAATAAATCTCTCCGGAAGACGCGGCAATAAATTTGGCAGGCTACCTTGGCAAATATAACATCCCGAAAGGACGGTTATCCATTGCGATAAAAACGGATGTGTGGCCGGTACAGTCTGCCTCATTCATAATTGTAGACGACCAAAAAGCAAATATCATTAGACGCAACTTCTTATCAAAAACTGATATTGCTCTAGTTCAAGAAAAACCAAAACATAACCAAATACTCAACGTACAAGAAAGAGAAAATTCAGACGAGGAGATAAAGCAATGGGTAAAAGAAAGTTTCCAACAAGTATGCGTATGAAATGTAAATTCAAAAATCATGTAACTAAAACACAATTCATCAACGAAATAACGTCTATACAATAAAGAGGAAAAAGAGTACCAATAAATTTCCAAGAAAGTGTGGAGAAAAAATTGAACAAAATGAATGACCAAAAACACGTCATCAAGTTGGATAAATGATCGGATCGGACAAGTAATTCTTTAGTCCAGCTGTAGTAACAATGAAAAAAGACCAGACAGTGAAACTATCATTAGACTCAAAAAAGATAAATACATTTAATCACGAAAACAAACATCAAATCGAACTATTTTTTGACAAAATCACACACAAAACCAACGCTGTTCTCGACACTTGATAGCGAGGGCAGCAAAGCACAAATTCGGAAAACAGAGGCTATAGTTAATCTCTCACTACCAAAAACATTCAAGCAACTATAAGCTTCATGAGCTCGAAACACCATCTCACACGATACATCCCAAGTTTGGCAAAGACAGCATCAGCAATTAAACCACTTCTAAAAACACAGGTAAAAACACAAAACACCAGATTGCAAGTGGGATCATACAATAGTTTTCAACCAGATTTTGAAACTTGTTTCAAATATAACCAAAAATAAGCATTTCGATCAAAGTTTAGAAGCCCGAGTGGTCCGCGACACCACTAAATTTGGTCCAGATGTCGCTCTTGATCAATTTACCATTGAAGGCTGAATAGCCATTGAGTACGCCCCCAGATTTTTTAATTTATTATAGGAAAAACACTCGGTAAAGGATTAGAATTATTAGGTGTCTTATGGGCAATAAAACTTTTCAAATAAGACTTGTACGGAAAAATTTCACCGTCATTACAGACCACCAAAATTTGATCAGCGCATTAAGCGCCAGTGATAGATCAAAAACTATTCAAACTAGGTTTACTAGATGGATTGATCGTTTAATCCCATTTAATTTTGACGTAACAAATCTGGCGGGGATAGAAAGTGGACTAATAGAACAAACGTTGTGATACCCGGTAGGATTAGCAATACACCCAGTAAAATTGATAAAGAATTTGTAGTGGCGTCAGTTACCTCAGTAATTGCAAATCTTGAATTGATTGAAAACGTCATTTTAGGCAAACTAGCCATTCAGAAGCGAGCGCCGTACGGGCTGATCAAAACACGCGCGGAAAACGA